TCATTAGAAGGTTGCCCTGTGTGAAAACAAAAAGAAGGGTTTATTACACATTTCTGTTTTATTTCAAGGAATTTTTTTTCAAAGGCTTTCATAAGCAATATTATTTGCTAAATAATAACCACGAATATTTGCGCCACACTTGATGGTGTTTTCACGTAGTTTCTCCTCTGATCCCAGCAACAATGTGATGAGGTGGGCACTGCCATCTCCTTTTATGGAGGAGGAATAGAGGCTCTGAGTGGTTACTGGAACAGGGACAAGGTCACTCAGCCAGCAAAGGAGCAGAGTGAGGGCTTAAATTCACATCTCTCACACTTTAAAAAATTAAGATCTGAGTGCCTCCAAGTATAAAGGTTTTTCATGCTGCTACTTAAAAGCACATAAGGTCATCTTTGGGAAAGCTTCGCACAGTTCCTGGCACCTGGTGGGACCCTCTTAGATATTAGCTATCATCATCTTCACCAACACCTCCTAGGAACTGGAATATTTCAGCTGATGACTGCAGCCTGTCTGTTGACCCTGAAGGAAAGGTTACCCTTTTCATTCCAGTTCACCCCTGATATTGTTGAAATAATGATCAATCTCCATTATCCCCCGGGTACCACAGAATGTTGAGAGCTGGAAGAAATTGTGGAGATGATCTCATTCCCGCGCCTGCATTTACAGATGGAGAAATTGAGTCCCAGAGAGGAAAAAGGTCAGAAAGCAAACTCTTCAAGGGCAGGGCTTATGCACAGTGCCTGGCACATACTGCCTCCCACAAAGATGGTTTTTACCTTAAAGGCACCTCGCTTCTTAAAGACTACAGGAGATAATCCACTGGTTTCTGGAGCTGTGAGCATCCCCCTCCCCCCCCCCAACCCCACGCTGCCCTCTCACAAACTCCTCAAGTGTTAGAAGCTATTAACCAGAAAACAGATCATGTGACTTAATTCCACCTCTGCTAAAGAGCTTAAAATGCTTTGGTGAGTAGTCTGAGATTCATAAATATACACTTCAACTCTTTCTGAAAGAATTATTAACCAGCTCCATCAAAACTGGAACTTGAGCAATCAAGGAGAAAAAGAGCTAGCAAGAGAAACTTCTTGAAAAAAAATTGCACCACCATTATATATGACTTCTTGCCACCTCTCCCCCCCCCCCTGCCTAAGAGTTGGAGGAAGAAGGAAAGAAAAAAGTATAATTATGCATGACATGAATCAATAAAACTAATTGTGGAAAATTACAAACTCTTTTCATCCCACAAGAGGTTCCAGATGAACGCAACAGCGTGTTTGGTTGCAGAAGAACTTAGAATGTGTTGACTAGGAGGGTAACGCAGAAATGTAACCCTCACTAGCTTCTTTCAGAGGGTGGAGATGGGCTGGAGAGATTTGACAGTTGTGTGGGTGTGATAATCAGTGGTAGCCAGTTCTCAACTAATGATTTTGGGGAACCTATAATTTATAGAGTTCGTGTCATACACTTACCTTACTTATCTCCCTAACTCACTGAGTATTAATTCTCCCAGCCATGGGACTAGCTTTTCATTCCACAAGCAGGGTCTTGATCAGCTTTAGCTTGAGGATTTGGGGGTGGGGAGGGATGACAGAGAGAAAGGAGATTAGGATTCAGTCTTCAAAAGAAAGAAACTGGAGTATAAACCCTTCTCTATGCTTTTCTCTGGGCCTCATACTTCTCAAGAAAGGCTGCAATTCAGGCCCTGCAAACAAACTTGTGGCCAGAACAGTTCTCGGAATGAAAAAGGGTTCCCCTCCTCCACAGCACCTTTATCACATTCAAACTATTTTGCACATTCCTTACACAGCCCAGGCGCACTCCTGAAGCAGGCCTCAGAGCAAATTCCACTTAGGAGATCCAGGAAGCTCTGGCCTTGGCCCTCCCTTCTTCTGGAAAGGAAAGTCCAAGTAAAGAGGGAGGGATGCCACACCCGGGGGAGGGGAGAGAGGATGTGACAGCACCTGCAGGAATGCAGGGCCCACGCAGGTGTGTTGGCACCCACGAACTTCCTTTTTAAAAGGGCCTGATAAATCAGTACTGATAACAGTAATAAAGCTCAGCCACTCAACAATCGCTCACACAAAACTGGGGCCCTCACTCCGTGGGTGTGGCCCTGGTAACTGGGGGGCGGAGAGTGACAGCCGAGAATAGAGATCCTTAAAGGTTGTGACTCTTTCTAGACAGCGTGGGGGTCCCTGGGACCTTTTTAGGGGATTCTCAAAGCCACAACTATTTTCACAATCCTAAGATGTCACTTGCTCTTCTCATCCTCCCTGTCTCACAGGTTTACAATGGAGTTTTCTAGAAGGGACACGATATGTGATGATATCATCACCCTGATGACTGCTGGAATGTGTGCTTGTGTATTCTTGTGTTTTAAACATTTCTCACTTTTAATTGTAATATGATGACTATTGAAAGACATCACACACATAAACAACATACTTGGGGGCCCTCCTAATTTTTAAGCATATTAAGGGTTCATGAGACCAAACAATTGCACTGCCCCATCACAGGACCATGCTTCATTGCCAACTCAGCTTGAGTCACATACGAGGCACGATCAAAAAAATACGGTGAATGTATTTTTTTACATTTACTATATTAAAAGACACAGCACCATTAATCCCCCTCAAAATACTCCCCCCTCACTTCAAACGTATCCCATCGTTCTTGCCACTTTCTGAAGCAGTTCTGGAAGTCCTGTTTCATGAGTCTTTACTTCATCCTCCATCAGGACAACACTGTGTCACACATTGCTTCTGGTATGGCAATTTCTGTCAAAAACATTCCAGTGTGTCCTCATCTACCACATTCACCAGATCTGGCACTGTGCGACTTGTGGCTCTTCGCAGAAGTCAAAATGACCAAGCAAGGTACAAGTTTTGAATCTATTCAGGACATCGAGGCAGCCACGACAGCACAACTAAAGATACAAAAGAGGACTTCGAGAACTGCTTCTGGAATGATGGGGTGTGTTGGAATTGAGGGGGAGTATTTTGAGGAGGATTAATGGCAATGTGTCTTTTACTGTAATACATTTTTGTATTTAAACATTCACCAATTATTTGATCACACCTCATAGTAGGTGCCTTTGACCAGGTGGTAGAGAAGGCATTCACCTTGGGATGATATCCTTTCCAACTGTACTGCCCCCCCAAAGGGCCGGAAAACCTTAAATTCCCCCACAGGCAGTTGATGACTTAAACCCCTTAGGGCAGCGGTTCTCAACCTGTGGGTCGCGACCCCTTTGGGGGTCGAACCACCCTTTCACAGGGGTTGCCTAAGACCATCGGAAAATAAAAAGATATTTACATTACGATTCATAACAGTAGCAAAATTACAGTTCTAGAGTAGCAACGAAACTAATTTTATGGTTGGGGGTCACCACAACATGAGGAACTGTATTAAGGGGTCGCGGCATTAGGAAGGTTGAGAACCGCTGCCTTAGGGGGAAAGTGGGCCAAAGTTAGCATGGAGAAAGCACACTCCCTTAGCTCCGGCACCCAGCAAAGACATATCCGAGTACCTGCCAGGAGTCAGGTACCATGCTACACGCTCAACAGTGAGCACAGCAGATGTGGTCCCTGCCTTCTCAGAGCTTTCATTCTAGGGTGGATTACTCACAAAAAAAATATGGGAAAAGTGGAACCTGTCACAGGTGTGGGGAAGGAGGCATGCGAGGTGTTGGGGGGGGCTTGATATGAGGGGAGGAAGGCCCTAAGGACTCAGATGGAATGAGGGCCCCTAATTAGCTCTTCTCCGCCAATTCCAGTTAGAAACCCCACCGGCAGGCCCAGGCCCAACTCATAGGAGTGTTCAACAGCTCTTTGCTGAGCAGTAGCCCCTCAGTGAGCCCTTCTGCAAATGGGGGGGTGTCTCCTTCTCACCTTCCCAGCAGGGCCAATGCTAAACAGGGTCCCTGTGAGCAGAACCCGGCTCTGAGGTATTTACAGGGAAGGATTCAGTCTTTTGTCATCAGGGACAGTGTCTGTCACTGACAACACAATCCAGAGGCTGTCATTGATGGAAACCGCAAATGGCCAAGAAATGATTGGAGGAACGGGGAGGAAGACTTTAGAAATGAAAAATAAATAAAAAGGGAAAAAAGGAAGCCCTGGACCAAGGCGGGTCTACGAGAAATCCTCAGGGAGGCAAGGCCAGCGAGGAGCCATCCAGGGCCTCGGCCCACTTTCCCTCCCTCCGAGCGCCCACTCAACCACTTCGGACCTGACCGACTGCAGAGTCGCCACCGACAGAACCAAGCCAGAAGAGCCCTGAGGCTCTCCCTCCGTAACTGTTGTAGAAGCGGGAAAACTTTAAGTTTGCAACCAGACTCGCAGCCTGACACCTAAACGATGCACATGGGTGGTGGAGGGGCGTTGTTTCAGGCTGCAGCATCCCAAAGTGGAGGTGGGGAGGGACACACAGGGGACTCCAGCAGTTCCACGGATCCTCGGCAACGCGATCGGCCGCGCGTCCCAATCCCCAGCAGGGCTCGAGCCCCAGACTGGACCCGGGCAACCAGCCGCGCGCCTGCGCGTGCGCAAAAGGCCCACCCATTCCTGCTCATCTCCAGGTGCGCTCGCGCTTCCGGCCGGCCTTCCCGGGGCGGAAACGCCAGAGCCCGCACATGCGCTTTCCAGCTCTCCTGCTCGGTCACGGAGCCCCACAGCTTCAGGTGATCCCGCCCCTCCCTCGCAGCGCGAGACCAATCGCGCGGCGGTGGGCGGGAATTTCTAGAAGACGGCCCGCCCAAGCTCTGTGCGAGGCGGGTGCCGATTGGTTGGCGCCTCGGGCGCAGGTGCGCGCTTCCTATTGGGCGTGGGCGGAGCGCGAGCCGCCGAGGCTTCTCCGGAGGCTGCAGGTGAGCGCGCGCGCGCACGCGCCGCGGCTCCCGCCCGGCTCGGGTGCGCGCGCGCGCGGGCTCGCGGGGGAGGTGGTTGAGAGCGAGGCTGCGGCGCCTGTCGCCTCTGCTCCGCCCCCTCCTCCTCCTCCTCCTCCTCCTCCTCCGCCGCCGCCGTCGCGGCTGCCGCCGAGGCCCGGAGGGAGGGAGTCGCGTCCCCGCCCGCCGCTTCGCCAGTCCGACCCTCGGTCTCGCCGTGTGAGGAACCAGCCGAGCGAAGCTCTGCGCGGACACCCAAGCAGCTGCCGTCCCTCTGCAGGTGCCTGTGAGGAGGCCCCCGGGCCGCTGCCGCGTCCAGAGCCCGCCGGCCGCGCACTCCCTCCCCGCGCTCCCGGGGTTCGGCCCGGCTGGAGGAGGCCGCCGCGGGGCCCGACCTCAGCATGAACCGCAGCCACCGGCACGGGGCGGGCAGCGGCTGCCTGGGCACCATGGAGGTGAAGAGCAAGGTGCGCGGGGCCCGGGCTGGGCGGAGCGGCCGTCGTGATGGGGGCCGGGGCCTGGGGGAGGCTAGGGGACGGCCTGAGGCGCTGCCCCGGAGCCTGGGACGGTGGAGGGCGCGGCGGTGGGATTCAGAGGCGGGCGGTGGTGGATAATAAACTTGCTGAGAAGGAAGCGGAGAAAGGTGGGGGCCTTGTGCCTGCTCCTGGCCCAGGTAGCAAAAAGACCCGTGGAGCATTTTATCTCGTTCCTTCAATCTCATTCCTGTTCAAGGATGGGAGGAAGGGCCAAGATGCAGCTAAGGCGTTTGAGCGCAGCGTGCTTTCTAAAGGTTTGGGGGGATTCCGCCTCCTGGCCTATGAGTAAAAGGTGTCTGGAACACCCGTGGTCACAACATGTTGCCGCTTTCTGTGGTTCAGGGGTGCATCGAGTGGTGAACGAGAGAACCCAGTGAACTAAAGAGCCCTTGGAAAGTTCGCTTTGCTTCCTGCTAGGGATTTTTCTAGCGCTAACTTTGGTATGCATTTAATCTATGAAATGAACACTATCACCTTTCGCTGGAGTAGCACTTCACAGTCCGAGTCTGGATGCTCTTTTCATTCCATCATGCTGCCTTTTCACATCAAGGGTTTTCACTCTTGACCAACGGCATGCCAGTCTGCTGATAATTACGTCGGTAGCCACCGAATTCCTCAATTGCAAGGCTCCCTGAGCAGAGTAGTCGATAGGGATTAGTTAGGGAATGCTTTTCCAAAGCAGGTTTTGAGCTGGAATTGGAAGGTGATCGGGGCCACAGGAACATTTTCAGCAGGTATTTCATGAATCGAAGAGCCAAAAGGAGCTTAGATAATCTAGTCTTAATTCGCTGAGAAGACAGAGTGTGACTTCGCCAAGCTCTGCTTTTCAGACCAAACCTTAAAGCCCTTTTACGGAGTCATTTGTAGGCATTACACCCTGAGGACATTTAAAATAGAGTTGGGAAGACCAAAAGACATTAAAAGCATAGGAGAAAAGTAAAAGCATACCAACATCAAAAATAATGAAACACCAATGAATGTAAGACTACTAAGAATGCAAAATCAAGGAGTGATTTTGAGTAAAGTGGGGTAAAGAAAGCTCCCTGGAGCCTGTGGGTAGAATGGTTTTTATTATCTAGAGTTGATAAGCAAAGTTCTGTAAGTTGTTGTAACTGAGATCATCACATCAAGAATATCAGCATTCATTTTTTAACATCATTTTACAATGTTATCTGTGACTTAACTTGTATCAGGATAGGTACCAGTTTCAGAAACCATTCTGTTTAATAAGAATAGAAATGTAATTAGAGCAGTTTAAGGGATACTAAGGAGTATGCTCTTCCTTTCATCCTCCATGGACCTGTCATAACAAATTGAAGTGACGTACTTGAACTAAAGGTTAAGATGACTCAAAATAGAGCTTTTCCCCCTAGCAGTATAGTGGTAGTAGTGGTTCATGCCCAATGGTCGAACCTTCTCATGGCATTTCTGTTATAAATCTAGTTTGGTTTTGTGGGAGTTGAGGTTAAGAAAAGAAAAACATTTATGATATTGCATGATCTTAAAATTCAGTTTGTGGTCCTGATCTTGGTAGCAAGTCAGTAATTTTTTTAATCATAGGGAAAAAATGAGTAGGAATTCTAGGTGCACTGATAAATACAACCAAATAGTAATTTATTTCTCAGACCAGGAAACCTCGATCACTTAGGGACTGGAATTTCAGGCTTTCTGCCTTTCTGTCAACTGACTTGTTCTTCTTTCCCATACTTACGTCTAAACTATATGTTAAATATTTGACCTGCCATATTGTACTGTTAGTGAACCATGTCTCTTACATAGACTCAAGGCATTCTGAGAACCTGCAGGGAATGAAGTGTCATCCTACTATTGTTCTAGCTGGTGATAAATAGACACAGTATAGATACTATTTCTAGTGTGTCTGTGACACCTTGTGTTTCAAATATGTATTGTTGATACATTTGCTTTTAATGGATTAAATAAAACACTTGTCATCTTTACTATTTAAAAATATTTGGATAGATGTTTGTAACAATATTTCCTTTTTCACTGCTTTACTGATATCACAGCTTTTTGCAGACCTGATCACTAAGAGGTTAGGTTGTAACCACAATTAGGTGATACGCAAATCCACATTTCAGGATCTCTTTCTTTTGCATAGAAAAGAGTGTCAGCTTTATTATCTTTGCTCATGAAAGGGGAAAATAGTATAAATAAAGTAATGGATAATGCAAATGTAGCTATAGTTAAATTGTGATACCAGGTACCATGTGACTTTTCTTTGGTAACTTATTTATCTTCCTGTTTCTACAGAGTTGGGAAAGTTCTTAATAATCAAGGTGGTGTCCTTTAATAACCTTGGAACAGTCTTTGAGCTGTACATTTCCTAATTATTATACATGGACAGCCATAATATTGAAATTAAGTTTGCATTTCTAGAATGTAGCAACAGAAGATAGGAGGAGGGTGTTTATTCATATTCTGGGTGGCCAGGAAGAGGGAGACCAGGCTAAAGAAGTTGTAAATGGTTCCCATAGTGAATAGTTCTTGATTAGTCTTAATTTGATCTCTGTCGTAGTATTTTTCTTCATGTAATAAACAGCTCTCTTAATCCTATTGTTTTGATGCAAGAAGCATAACAATTTCTCTTTTTTTTCTGCTAACATTTGCAAAAGGGCACATCTACTGTGAAGCCATACAGTTTTCCATTGTTTTCCGTTGTTTTCTTTTATCATAACATTTAAGCAAGGGAAAAAAATGTTGAGCAAAGAATTTTCATCCAAAAGCTTTGGGAAAAACATTGAAGCCCTAAATTGTTCAATTATTAGATGTTACTCCCATTCATGTACCAGGGGATGTGATAAACCCTGGGATGAATCAGAAAGCACTAGGAACTTTATGTTGTGATACCAGAATAAAGAAAATGGAGGAGAAACTGTGACTTTTGATAACATCATAAGAATCACTCTGATATGAAGGGTGTGCCTGAGTTTTTATTTACTTTGAAATGAGAAGGTGTGACTAAACTTTTTGAGAGCTTCAGGTATGAGTCACCTTATTTTCTTGACAAATATTAATGTTTATGATTCAGGAATGTATTTTGAAAACTATTTCAATTATTTATTAGAGGTAAGAAGTGGTGTTAGTGACTTCTTTAATTTTTTTTTTTTAAAGATTTTTTTATTGGGGAATTGGGGGGATGGGAACAGTGCTGGGGAATTGGGGGAAGGGGAACAGACAAGTTGCTGTCGTTTTGTTCTTCAGACGTTGCTTTACTGCCCAAGTTGGCACCATCACCGCGCTCTTCCCGGGCAAGGCACATCCAGTTGCCGGCTTCTGGACGGCTGCTCACTGCGGCTAATGGCTGCTCACACTGGCTGCTGGCCACACATGCTGGCTGCTGGCCACACACGGTAGCCCATGGCAACCCACTGCCACAGGGGCTGCAGCCTACGCCGTCACCGGCGACTCACGCCCTCATATGTGGGATCCGAACCGGGGCCCTCTGGCATCCCAAGCCAGCTCTTAACCATCGCGCCACTCGGCCGGCCCTTACTTTAATTTTAAACTAGTGAGTAGCGAGGGTATAAGCAAGGTAGATGAACTTCTTACAGAAAAAGCTGCAACTCTAGATATCCCATAGGGTACTTGGGAAAATGAATTGACATATTTGTAACCTCAAATTATTCTGATAGGTACTTTCTGCATGATGCTTAAGGCTGTCTTAGTGGTGCTAATAAGAGTTATTTAAAGGGAAAATGAGTTCAGTGGCCAAACACATTTAGCAAACATTTGTTTAAACGATTTTTTTTTTTTTTTAAATCAACCACAGGAGTTAACCGAGCTTTGAATATCTGGTCTCCACTGATTCCTGAGTGTGATTATAGTTATGTAGCATTTTCCAAACTTACATGGCTAGTACACTTTTTTGAGGAAGGCCCAGTAATCTTTCTTAGGTTTCCACATTTGGGAAAATGCCAGGCTAGTCCCATAGTTAGTCATATAGATCCTGTTTATTATGGACTAGATGAAGCCAGCCCTTAGTGTTGAGTAAGAGCCACTTTAATAATTGGACATTTGGAGAGAAGAAGTGTAGATCCTGGAGTAGGGATGCAGACCTGAGAAACAGAATTGGGAAGCTAAATATTGGTGCTCTCTGTTGGTGTGATCCCTTAATACCTCTCTGATGTAATTATTCTCTTTATCTACTAATTGGTGAGCTTGTGCAGGCCTTAGCCTTTTAATCTCTAGGGTCTAGCTCTGTGCCAAGCACATAAACACTTCTTGCATTAATTGGATATTTGTAGGACATATATTTGATGTGTTAATAAAGCTTTTTTTACAGTATTGACATAGGGAAGATGCATCTTATCTCTAGACTTAGTTCTTACATGAGATACTTGCATTTGTATCATACCTTAAAAGCCAAGAAGCTCAAAGTCCTTTGTGTATATGTTTCTGTTAATTCTTGCCACTTCCTGTGAAACCATAATCCCTTTTATGGGGGAAGAAACTTAGATGCTTTTTGCTCAAGGCTTGGGCACATCTTGTTACCCTGTGGCCTGAGTGAGGAGAGTACTGCTGTCAAGATCCAAGCTCCAGACAGGGTTTGAGCTGAGTCACTCACTGTGCAGGATGGTCTCCAGTGAAGCCTGGCTACCCCGGGGATTGAGTTGAGCCTGCATCTCTTGAAGGGATGCCCTTCAGAGACACGGCAATGAGAAGGCACACTTCTGTGCCTTTCTCAATGCTGTTTTATCTCCAGGTAATGAGGTTTCTGACAATAGACTGTGTTGCCAGAACTATCTTCTTTATTAAGGGAAATTATATGCCTGTTAATTTTTCTATGGCATGCATTTTAAAATTCAGTCCTGTTACTTTTTTTTTTTAATTAATATGTTTATTATATTTCTAGTTTGGAGCAGAATTTCGGCGGTTCTCACTGGAAAGATCAAAACCTGGAAAATTTGAGGAGTTTTATGGATTACTGCAACATGTTCATAAGATCCCCAATGTTGACGTTTTAGTAGGCTATGCAGACATCCACGGAGACTTACTACCTATAAATAACGATGATAATTATCACAAAGCTGTCTCAACGGCCAATCCACTGCTTAGGATTTTTATACAAAAAAAGGGTAAGTACCACTGTTTACAAAAATTGCTTGAGAAATAGCAGTTTATTTTCCTCATTGATACAGCATACACAGACTTTGCCACAAGCTTAACGGATAGACATTTTGTGTGAATCTTCTTACCATATTAACTAGCAAGTGGGTTTAAAACATTTGTGAGATTATTGGTTTAATGATTATCTTTATGCTTCACTGAGTATACTTTAGAAACTTTGTGTTTTTAATTTAATTTTAACCTCTTAGATTTATTTTTTAATAGAAATTAGGAATTTATTGAGTCTTCACTTCACTGAATGGAATTTTGTCCGTTCAGAAAGATGTGGTAGGAAGAGCATGACTGGAATCAGAAACATTCGAATATCTGGTGGTGACCGGCTTTCAAATGCTGTACTTGTTACTTAATAGAGACCTGGAGGAAAGTTAGTTATCCTCCCTGGGTCTCAATGCCCTTTTTTATAGACTGACCATATTATCTCATAGGATTATTAGGAAAATTAAATGAGCTAAGTGCAGTGCCCTGGCATATAGTAGTAGTAGGCAGGCATCAGTAAATGTTTCCTTTCTCTTTTAGAATATTTTTCACAGAAATAAAATTAGTTACTTTTCAGGAAAATTATTTTGGAGGAATGTAAACATTGATATTAATCTTGCAAAAGAACATTTGAAATAACTACTCTATATGGCAAGCATTTTCAAATGTAATTTGAGTCCTAAAACTTTTTTTTTTGGTTTAACTTCATGGCTGCCTTCCTGTGTGTCTGTCTATCTGTCTGCAGATGGGGCATGTCGTGTGCTATTTATTCCTTTGTCTTTGGTAAATGAAGAGGGTTAGAAAGCCAGCACAGAGCAGCAGGCCCTAGCATTGGTGGGATAATTAAAGCTTTATCATGTTTGTAAACCAACCCAGAAAGCAATTTGGGAGAATGGGGAGGGATTACCCTTGAGGATGAAACTTTCTTTCCAGCCGGTTGATAAGCATTGGACCACTCCCAGGGCTTTGAAATTGCGCTGATTATGTATCTTTGCTTTCCTGGGTTGGGAAGAACTAAAGTCTACCAACAAAATAAACCTCCACTTGACTATTGACAAAATACTGACAAATACACAATTTTCCCAGAGACCCCCTGAGATGAATTTTGTAGATAACAGCTATGGTACAATTAGAATATTACTTCAGAAACATTAACTTGGCTGTCAGGAGGAATTGGAGTGAGCAGCGTTCTAGAGGAGAGAGCAGGGAGCAGGCGGCGAGGAGGCAGCTGCGGAAGGGGCTTGGGGAGCCAGGAGGTGAGGAAAGCAGCAGTGGAAATACACGCGAGTAGTTGATAGTCACTACGCCACTATGCTGGATGGCGTAGCGTTGAGAAGTTGTCCAACAGAGAGGAGCTTTCTGGGTTTGAGCCTGATGCTGGGATGGTGCCGTAAAGAAGCAGCATTTGGAAGAACGATTGACTTGGAAAGAAAATCAGTTTGGTTTTAGGACAAAAAAGTTTATCTGGCTGGCGAGTTTCAACCATGTCATGTAGGAAATTGGAAATGGTAGACTGGAACTTAATCTAGAGGCTAGTCAGAGAGAGTTGAAATTTTCAGGAGTACACATCAGGACTGGTGGAGATGAAGACCAGGGAGAGACCCTTGGAAAGCTGTGTGTATTGGGTTGTCGGAAAAGTCATGACGTATTTTTCTGTTTTTTGTTTCAAAAATGCGTCATGACATTTCCAACAACCCAATAGAACAGCGGTTCTCAACCTGTGGGTCACGACCCCTTTGGGGGTTGAACGACCCTTTCACAGGGGTTTCCTAAGACCATTGGAAAACACATATTTTCGATGGTCTTTGGAACCGAGACACTGGTCCTCTATCTGTCTCCAGGCGTGTCCGTCCACATGCAGATACGCCCACATACGAGTACCAGGCTTCAAGACAAAATTTCATTTATTTGTAATTAGAAATAAATATTTCATAATATATAATTACACATTGTTTTTGTGATTAATCACTATGCTTTAATTATGTTCAATTTGTAACAATGAAAATACATCCTGCATATCAGATATTTACATTACGATTCATAACAGTAGCAAAATTACAGTTATAGAGTAGCAACGAAAATAATTTTATGGTTGGGGGTCACCACAACATGAGGAACTGTATTAAGGGGTCGCGGCATTAGGAAGGTTGAGACCCACTGCAATAGAATGTTGAGAAGAAAGAGCTGCTGTAGAGGAGAGAGGGACCAAACATTTGAGTGGAATTTATCATTGTAAGCAGACTATTTTAAATCATTATTGTTGAATAGTAGGTCTTTCTTGTTAGCAGTTGTAATTTTCATTAAAATTTTAGTTGCTCTTTGGAACATGTATTCAAATGTAGAAGGACTATTTTTAACTACTACCGTCTGACAAAATTATCCCGGTCTTGTTAGAAAGAGTATAGGAGTTGATTTATACCACCACCTGTTTTTGTTCCTGGAATTGTAACACTTACATGATCATGGGATTAATTGTAACATCTTTTAAGGTGTGGGTATCTTCTGCTATTTCCTTTTTAAATATGTATCTATGTGGACAAAAGTTTTCTGTGTAGTAGAGGCAAACGTCCAGTACAGTTAATAGCCCTTAGAGTTTGGTTTAGAAATAGGCAGTCCATTCAACAGTTAATTTTTGTTTTTAAAAATATAAATTTGATATAAATATGACTTAAGCAAATAATGAACATTAAGTTGGTCAGTTCATCTCTTCATTAAACCCTCTACTGGCTTTTCATTGCATTCGGAATAAACTCCTTCCTGGTCTGGCCTTCACAAGCTCATCTACCTCCTCAGTTCTGCCACTCTCTCATCACAGCCGACCACACTGGCTTTCTCTGTGTCCTCAGATTTGGTTGCCGTCTCTGCTTTTGCACCGGCTTTGTCTTCTATTGAGAAAGCTTTTCCTTCATTTCTTTCCATGGCTGCCTCCTCTTACTTCAGATCTTAGCTCACATAACTGTCTCAGAGGGGTCTCTTCTGACCACCCTGGCTAAAGCACCCCCACACACACACCCCGCCCCCATACACCCCGCACTCCTCCCCCCCCCAGCCTTTAGCAGATTAACTACCCCCTGAAGACCTGGCATTACCTTATTTAAATATGAGTTAACTTATTGTCTGTCTTATAGACTTACACAGTGCTCTGGGACTCACGGTGATGCTTTTTCTTTCAAAGCTTAACAGATGCTTAAGTAGAAAGCTGATTTCATGTAAACTTTAATGGACATTAAATTCAAGAAACTAACATGAAGCATGACATTTAGTATAGTTAACACTTTACTACTTAATTACAACACATTTTCTGTTGTCTTGGCTTGTTGATTCCAATTTAGGATCAACAGGGCAGCAATTACCCTTGATACAGTACCAAGTGATTTTTTAAAAACAAATTTCAAAGCCATTTAAAAATTTAAAGCCACGTGATCTTTTAAAATCCAATACACTCTACTAAAGTTTCTTTGATGTGAAAGCTCACAATTGAATGCCTAAACGACTATTGCGTGAACTCGAAGATAGTGATGAAAAGCTTTGTGTTTTATAATAATTTTTTTGTGGGAAGAAAAACTCCATACTCAGTTTCTAGGGCTCTTATCATGGAAGTAAAAACAAAACAAAAAACCTGATATCTTAAAAGTTATTTTCACAGAGAGGACTCGCAGGCCTCTTGCCAGCCCCCATCCTGTTGGAGTTTAGTCTCCTCATTTGTCAGAGGGAGAAGGTACCACGCAGGGTTTTCCTTGTCTGGTTGTCTAGGTTATTGTGCCGTAAGCAGTATTAGAAAAGAGGTACAGGTTGTACATTTAAAAAATAGGTCATTTCTGTAGGTTTGGAATACAGCCAGGGAAATGTGTATTTTTAAAAAACTTCCAGGTTGCCCTGATGATCTGCCAAGTCTGGGGTCCGTTGATAGGCTCAGACTCTCGCCAGATCTGATCAGAATATCTACACCACAACTCCTTGCTATATCACCATCCGTTTTTGTATGACATTAGCCAAATACATTTACATCTTGGGTTTATTCAGAGGAGTTTGTTAGAAACACTAGAAGGGCCTTGCTTTAAACATGGTCTTACATAGGGCGTAGCCACTTGGAGCTGGGCAGGCACCTGAATATTCTCTTCAACTTCACTGTGCAGTGGACCTTATTTTGTAAATGTATCATAAGGTTATATTTTAATGAATCAGGGTTTAAATTAGAAATGGTCTAAGGGATATACATTTTAATAGTAAATTGTAAAAGTTTAACAAAAGATATGGCCTCAGAAATAAAAATAAAATAAAACAAAAAGAAAAAATTGTGGAGCAACATCTCAGATTATGATACCAGTTCTCGAGACCGAAACCTGGGAGTCACCTTTGACGCATGCCTGTTTTTCAGTCACCAGCCTATTAAAACTGTGTTTGAATTATTTTTCAAATGCTTTTCCCCGTCTCCACCACCTGCTCCAGGTGAGGTACCTTCCTAAGTCACTACAGTGATCCCCACCAGCCCCTCAGGACCATGTTCCTGCTTGCGCCCAGAGTGAACTTTGTCAGCAACCAAAACCCTTGGTTTTCTTCCCATCGCCCTTAGGCGGGGAGGTCCTTAATCCTCCTCAACGCTTCCCTGGAGGCCCAGTTTGTCCACCTGGCCCCTGGCTGCCTCTGGCCCCTGTCAGCCTCGGACTAGCTCTGGACTCCTTCTCCGTCCCCACCCACCCTGTAATCTCACTGCAGTCCTGAGTCCTGAGCCACATAACGGGGTTTCTGTCAATGAAGCAGACCACATACATTAAAGGGACCCCATCAGATTATAATGGAGCTGAAAAGTTCTGTCGTAGAGCATCGAGTCACTCACGTGTTTGTGGTGATGCTGGTGTAAACAAACCTGTGCTGCCAGCCATATAAAACTACAGCACATACAATTATGTACAGTACATGATACCTGATTGTGATAATAAATATGTTACTGGTTTACGTAGTTACTGTACTATACTTTTTATTGTTATTTTAGAATGTACTCTTGTTAAAAGAAGTTTGCGCTGCTGACACCAGCAGCACCCTCGTCTCATGTCGTGATTACATCATTTGCTCTTGAGCTTGATTTAATTTCATGTTGTTTGCACAGGTTTGTAGCCTAAGAGCCAGAGGCCAGGCCATACAGCTAGGTGTGTAGTAGGCTACTCCATAGGTTTCTGTGCGCACTCTGGGATGTTCCCACAACGATGAAATCACCTGAGGATGCGTTCCGAACGTATCCCCGTCGCCAAGTGGCCTGTGACTGTACCTGGGATGTTATTCCTTCCCTTCCACCTGATTAGCTGCTGCCTCCTTTTCCAGCCTCAGCATGAGCCTCACTTCCCTGGAGAAGCCTTGCCTTCTCCTGTGAACCCGGTTGGGCTCCCACAGCACAGGCGCGGCGCAGCCCTTGGCACCTTGGGGACGATGTAATTGTTTGAAACTGTCAGCTGCCGTCTCCTCACTTAGACTGTAAGCACCATGGAAGTGCGCACCCTACCTGTTCTGTTCGCGGCACCTGCAGCACAGAGCACGGTGCCTGGCCACATACAGGTGCTTCTGAGACACTTGGTGATTGACTTTTCTTATGGTTGGAAGAGAAGGGGTCTGCAAAATTTGAATATTGCTTTAAAAGTGACGTTTAATCCTTTTAAAGTTGCCAGATCTGTTTCATTTAACCATTTTGGAACAAGGGTTGGCAAATGAAGGCTTGCTGGCTGTTTTGTAAATAAGGTTTTCTTGGAACACAGCCATGCTCATTCCTTTATAGGATTGCCTATGACAGCCTGTGCGACGGAGCCTGTGTGACCTGCAGGACCTACAGTATTTGCTGTATAAAGCTTTACAGAGGAAGGCCATAACCCTTGGATTAGAACAATTTCAAAAATTATTTCATCCTTCCCCATCTTCCTGCTAAACTTGAACATATCATAATCTTGAACTTTCTTGAAGACCCCACTGTGAACTGTTACTGTTTTATTACTGTACAGAGACGCTGATGGTGTTTATGTACTTTGTTTGTTTTTTAGATTTGCTTGTTATCCACTGTAGGCTTTTATTTCTTGTATCTGTGCCTGCCACTCACTCGTGGGCCTTTACCATCCCTTGCTCTGAATCTGTCACGTATGACTCGGTGAGCCAAGGAGTGAGATAACCAGGCTTTTCAGAATTAACGTATAAAGAGTAAGAGATTCAGAGGGAGGGCCTGCAGGGAATTAGGCTGTTCAGTGGCCTTCCAGGTGGATCCCTGTCTGTTCCAGTTAGCGGAGATTGCCGGCTGAGGGACAGGCTCAGGGTAAGTGAGGTTTTGCTGTAGTATAAGCTTATATCGGGCACTTGCATAAGGCTGGCTTATACAAGTGGAAGGTTGCTATGAACCAAGTTTTCAAACTTTCTGTCTCATTGAGTTCAGTGCTTTGATATACATGCTCAGGTAGAAAGTGAACTCCCATTCCCGGTGGACATTCACCTTTACACTTTAAACTAACACCCTGCACCCTGGCTTTCTGCCAAAATATTTCTTTTCCCAGTGGCTGGAAACTGATTAGCTAGATGGGAGAACAAAGGAGGCTTTGTACTGGGGCATATTGCTTTTGAGAATTTAGCAGAGAGCATTCAAACAGTTTGGATGGGATGCCAAATTATGCAGATTTGGGGTTTTCTGTTAGGTTTCCCATGAATAGGTATGTAGGCAACTTTAATTTTGTTTTTAGTTTGTATGGTCTGGAATTTCCCTTATAAATATGTGGGCTTTCTTCATTGGTTGTTTTAAAATGAAAATATAAAATTTAGAGAAAACACATTTAGTAGAGGATGATCGTTGTTAGATTTTTGGCCAAATTTTGCCAAAAAGGTTGTTGTGTCAATGGATTATTTCCAAAGCCAAATTATAAATTTCTGTCTCTGTAAGAACAAGTGCAAATACTTTATAAATAAAGACAAAGTTATCCTGAAGGGGGGAAAATGCCAAAAAATAAAGTACCCCTAGTCTTGTGTATTTCTCTGAATATCTTTTGAAAGATGTTCAAGTAGCATGAGAAGACATGGAAGTTCTCCACTCTCGGACACATGGCTGATACAACATGGGAACACTAAGTATTGATTGGCCTAGTAAGAAAACCTAGGGCCAGTCTTTTCTCTGTAACTTAGTTTGTACCCTTAACTTCCTGGTCTATAAAGTAGAGGTGATAATACTTATGAATAAGAGGGAGTGAGAGTCCAGGGAGAGAAAACCAAAGGCCAGTACAGACGGTGATACTAAGACTAGCATTTTGAACTAGTTCTTTTGTTGGCGGGGGCAGGGGGGTGACTCTTACGTTTTTAGTTTATCCCCAGTTGTTTCTGAAACATGATTTCAACTTTCGTGCCTGCTATTAATTGCATTTCCTTTTCTCCTCCTCATTTTCTGATGAGATGGTTTGTTTGTAGACTGTCTTCCTTCAGCAATGTCATTTCAGAATATCTGGTTTTAGGGGCCCTGTGTTCCCTTAGTTCACATCAGAGATTATAAATCGTTGGCTTGGAGAATGAATTCAACCCCCAGATGCTATTTAGCTCAAACAAGTTTTTGTTGTTGTTTAACTGGGTGTCAGCATTTAAAAATGGAAGATTTTGACCTAAAAAACAACACTCGCAGGCAAATTGAATTTGGCCACTCAAATTCCTGTAGCACATGAAGCAGAGCTTCCTGGAGTGAAGAGCAGCTGTGCCGTTAAATGGGGCAGGAGCCCTCCCACTTGCCGAAGCCCTTCCCTCCCGTAGCTGGTCACTACCACTGAGACAAAATGTCCCTGCACTTTATTGTTTTTCACACAGTGAAGAAAAAAGTTAAAGTCTTATACCTCAGCCTCTTTCAAAAGTGTAAAATTAACTCCCTCAGAAAACAGAGGGAGAGTGTGTGTTTGCAGAATACCTGTATTCCTGTGTTTGACATGCATTCATCTAATTACATTATCACTTAGTGTATATTATCTGCTTTATTGAATCACACTGTCTGCCCAGCCAGCCTCTAATGCAGGTATTTGAGTTTGTTCTCTTGATCTGCCTTGGGAATCCAAAGTGGCCCCTTGTGTGTCATTGAGTTGAATATGATAAACAAGCAAATTAGAGGTATTTTAAACAAATGAAGGAAAAGTATATTTTAAGTAACTTGTTTAAAATGATGTTTAAGAATGTTTGTAAGACGCATCAGAATTTCATTTGCCATACTTAATGTCTCATAGTTGATGAGCTTTATCAAATTTAACTTCAACATTTGGTAATTTTGTGTGTACTTGAGAGGGCCACCTAGTGGTTTTTCTGGTATAGCCAATCTTACTGCACTACATTTTCACCTGCTTAGAATAAGCTAATGTTTAACTAGTGTGTTTATGTACCAAATACATTTTAGTTATCCTTCCTGTACAGATTCAGCTGTAGATAAATGGGTGTTTTTACAGCATTTCTATAATTATTTTATTCTATTTTTAAACAGAAGAAGCAGACTACAGTGCCTTTGGTACAGACACACTCATAAAGAAGAAGAATGTTTTAACCAATGTATTGCGTCCCGACAACCACAGGAAAAAGCCACATCTAGTCATTAGCATGCCCCAAGACTTCAGACCGGTATCTTCTATTATAGACGTGGACATCCTCCCAGAAACGCACCGTAGGGTTCGCCTGTACAAATATGGCACCGAGAAACCCCTAGGATTCTACATCCGGGATGGCTCCAGTGTCAGGGTAACACCGCATGGCTTAGAGAAGGTCCCCGGGATCTTCATCTCTAGACTTGTCCCTGGAGGTCTGGCCCAAAGCACAGGACTATTAGCTGTTAATGATGAAGTTTTAGAGGTCAATGGCATAGAAGTTTCAGGGAAGAGCCTCGATCAAGTGACAGACATGATGATCGCAAACAGCCGCAACCTCATCATCACGGTGAGACCAGCAAACCAGCGGAACAACGTTGTTAGGAACAGTCGGACCTCTGGCAGTTCCGGCCAGTCCACGGATAACAGCCTCGTCGGCTACCCCCAGCAGATGGAACCGAGCTTTGAGCCAGAGGATGAAGACAGTGAGGAAGATGACATTATCATCGAGGACAATGGGGTCCCACAGCAGATCCCTAAAGCCGTTCCTCATGCCGAGAGCCTGGAATCATTAACGCAGCTAGAACTCAATGTGGGGGCTGGACAGAATGGTTTTATTCCCTCTAATGAAGTGAGTTTAGCACCCATAGCAAGTGGCACAAATACAGAATTTGAAACGCATGCCCCAGATCAGAAACTCTTAGAAGAAGATGGAACCATAATAACACTCTGAAACCACTGTTGGAATGCTTTCTGAGCGAGGGTGCCATGGGGACTTGTACATTTGGCTAGTCTAAAGCATATATACCTCTGAACCAGTGACTTGGACTAGGCATGAGAAAAAATAATATTGCAAGCTTAAAATGTTACTAAAATTGTAGTTTGATAATTGCTGATATAAACTTCAGTGGGTCAGAGGTGAATTTAAGTCTAAAACAGGGGCCTTTGCTAATGACATCATGTGCGTTTGCTGTTTTGTCTGTAGAGCACTGGATGGTAGAGCACATTCTCAGAGCTGTGAGAGGACTAGATCATTTCCGCTGAAGTGGTTGCACATTTAACCTGCTGTGCAGAGCCCAGTTAATTTTTCCTTTAACTATATTTTTAAAAATTCTAATGTGAAGAAGTCTGATTCTCTCTTTTGGTACTTTGGGGACCTCAGCTCCTATGTTCCTATATTTTATTTTGATTTTTTTTTTAATGTTCTTCCGTTGTGAATTGTAACAAGTAACTTTTTCAAGAGTTTTTTTTCCCCCCCCTAATTTCTAAGAAATCAAAGCGATTGTTTTTAGGGGTTGCTTCCTACCTTATAAAGTGTTGACACTATCTTCGTGAAGTAAGAAGCTCTAACCATCGTTTAAGTTTGTGTTTGTTCTTCCTGTTGCTTTCAGATTTACAAACTCATTCCATGTGGGTGTAACTGATCCTAAAAGGCAATTCCATCGAGTCTGAGCACATGGGAGACTCGCTCCCTTAACCATAACCTCTTCTCCACATTCCCAATCTCATTGGAAATCATTCCTTTTGTTGTGTGTGTGTGTGTTTCGTTGGTGTGCTTTTATACTCTTGTAATGTATTTGAGTAGTGCGAATCATTTTGGATAAAAAAATGCACCCAAATTAAGAAGTTTTTACACACAGGACAAACTTGTGCACTTTTTATATGAACAATTTGGGTTTCCTTAATGGGATTTCTAGGAACACTGCCTACACTTTATGAAAATTATATAGTATTCACCTTTGACAGGTAGAGTTTATCGCTATTAATTTTATGAGGCTATTTATTACTTTCCAATGCATCCACTTAGAACAAGTGAAGAGAAAGGCTGCTAACCTTCATTCCTTGCCTGATTTCACAGTACCATGTGCACAAACACTACAGTATGCTTGTACATAGAAACTGAGAGGAGTATAAAGCACAGAAGCTCCCTGTGGCTTATGGGTATTTCTCTCAGAGTTATTTATTGATTAATTTTATGGTAGGGCTAGTATGGATACCTTTATAACAATTGTGTGCTATTAACACATTGTGGACCAGTGATGCAGATTTGCGTCTGTATATTTAAATGCCCCGACCTCAATGTGTTAAAACAATGAAGAATCAAATGACTCCGTTTTGAAGGATATTTTCACTATATGGTCAAAGTATATGAAGAAGTAAAGTCTTGATTAAATGAAGCTCACTTGACTCAGAATACTTACATGTATTTTGTTCACATTACCACTAAACATATTGTCACTAAACTAGTAACTGCACAACATGTAATACAATGTACTTTCTGTTGAATTCACCGAAGTTCTTCCACGTCTATACCACTATTTTTTAATGGCATTCCAGCTTTAACATTCTGTGGGTTTTGTAAATTTGGCTCTTGAATGGCAAAAATGTTACTATGTAGAAGGCTAAATTTCATCTCTATTATAAGCGGTGCAGGGGTTCAACATTTTAAGTAAAAATACTTTCACACACTACCTCTCTCTCTCTTTTTTTTAAACGAAGTTTTAACATCAGAACTTTTCTCGTGGGGAAAACAATACTTCAGGGCTTGACTTTTTGTACAAATTTTAACTGTAAAATACAGATTTGTCTTGTATGTATTCATGAAAGTAGAAATCAAAGCTGCTAGTGCTTTTTATTTTAATTCTCCTGCTAAGGGTATATGTCAGTGGTGTTTTCAACTAGATCTCTCATTTAAATTATTGGTAAAATAATTGATTACTAGACGCATTGTAGAACCATCTTGGTTCTACAATAAAATGTCAATTCATTGGTAGTCTGAATTAATTAATTCAAGTGTATCTTATTAACAAAAATATCAGTGGATTCAGCATAAAATTTTACTAAATGTCAAGCCTAACTGTGAATTTTGTTCTGTATCTTTTAGTAAATTTATGATAATGTTCTCATGTGCTATCAACAAAATATATGTACTTTTGTGAACTGAATTTTCTAATTAAATTTTACATGCGACAACATGATTTTTACATGAATGATACTTTGTTTAAACTATCAAATGTCAGTATTTTACTACAATTTTATTATAAAATGTACATTATCACTAAATGAACTTTGATTTAAAAAATCAAATTAGCTTTAGTTGTATATTATTTTTTACAAATAAAGATAGACTTCTATAAAGGCTACTTTCTTGTTTGCAAATACGTGAGAAGTCACCCAACAATTATTTACCGTAGCACCTATTGCATAAGTTATAGCAAGGCCCTGGGTTCCTTAGCTTTTAATTTTTGATAAAGACCAAATTGTATGTACATTTACTGCAACTGGGTGTGCACGTGTGGCTGTGGACTGGAAGATGGCATTTAAAATGTAGTTAATTCTGATAGTGTGGGAAACTGCGTGGTACCAGTCAGAGTTATCATTTATGTTGTTTAAGATGATTTGGAACAAGACAAAAGTAGTTGGTATTGTGACAGTTTATCTTCTGCAACTCAAATTCACTTAGTTATGCTTTTCATTGCCACCCATATGGATTGAATTCAGTTTATACTGCAAAATGTGAAAGGCCTGAGAAAAAATAGACCGTCTTCCTGAGCCATTTCTAATCCCAAATTAGTCACCCTGTCACTGGCTTAGTTGATCTCAGCACTAACTCTTCAACCAGTGTGGAGGGTGATCCTGATTTCCTTCCCCCGATTAAAACCAGATTGAAAACCCTCTGAATAAAAACTCAACATCATGTCCATAGAGCTCTAAGCAACGTGGATTGGTCCAGATTGTGTTACATTCAGTACCCGATACTCATCTCAGTTTCAGGGTCCGTGAAACAATGATACGGAACTAAAAAGCCCCTTCACCACAAAATGTGACCCTGCTGCTGCTGTTTGTATCTTATTTATTTTTTTAAAGATTTTTATTGGGGAATTGGGGGATGGGAACAGCGCTGGGGAATTGGGGGAAGGGGAACAGACAAGTTGCTGTCCTTTTTGTTCTTCAGTCTAGTTGTGGAGGACGTTGCTTCATTGGCCCAAGTTGGTATTACCATCGCGCTCTTCCCGGGCGAGGCAGATCAGTTGCTGGCCGGTGACTCACGGCAGCCCAGCTCCAGGTCGAGCTGTTGTTCAGCATCTTAGCTGTGGAGGGCAGTGTCACTGGCCCTCATATGTGGGATCTGAACCGGGGCCCTCTGGCGTCCCAAGCCAGTTCTTAACCATCGTGCCACTCGGCCGGCCCCTGCTGTTTGTATCTTAAATCCTTGCTGCTTCTAAGTTTCCAGTCTGGGTAAGGAGTTAAATTTGATTTTGAGGAAAAATCATGGAAGTCAGAAATTTAAAAGGAAAAGCCAGCTCTGTTCTGGCTCGATGCCTTAAGGTACTCAAATTAATGTTTAGCAACTGATGGTTGCTTTGATTTTCCCATCTTGGGGTTGATGGAAGGTTTAAATGGGGGTGATGAAGCTGTAAGAGGTGATGAAGCGGTGTGTCTGTTGACTTTGGCAGCTGAGCTGTCCTGAACAGGCCTGGGAGTGAGTTCCTGCTTTAAGACATTGAGAACCTTGACTTTCTTATTTGTGAGAGCACATCACTTGGTGATGGTGACTGTGACCTGTACAGTAAAGCACAGACGGGTTGTGGCGCCCAGCTATAGCAAGATCACTGGCAAACTACTGAAAGTGCCGTAATTGGGTGGATGTCTGATTGGTTATTGGAAGGTAAGTAGAAAGGAAGTTAATCTGTTAGAGTTTGTAATTTAAAAATCCTCAGCATGTACCGTATTTCCCCATGTATAAGATGCCCCCAATGTATAAGACGCAGCTTAGTTTTGGGGCCCAAAATTTGAAAAAAAATGTATTATATGAAGTTATTGAACTCAAGTTTTATTTATAATAAAAAAGCAGGAAATGCGAGTAAAAAAATCTACAACCACTGTATAAGACGCACCCAGTTTTTAGACCCCAGATTTTTCACAAAAAGGTGCATCTTACACATGGGGAAATACTATAGTAGTCTACCAAGCTCTTCCCTAAAACATACAAGACTTATTTTAAAAGCTAATATGCTTATCCAGTTACTTTGCAACATTTGATGGGTAGTTTATAAATGAATATTAAAATTCAGTAGAGTTCATATTTTCTTTACAAGCTAATTATTTAGGTGTTTTCTCACTTTAAATAGCTCTCTTTTGAAAAGGGTACTTATTCTAAATCTGGTGTCCTCCATGTCATAGAACACCACTATTTTCTAGTTCATTATAATTATCTAGTTCATTATAATCCCACAGGATGGGTAACATTTAATACAATATTAGTAAGGAAACCTTTAAAAAATTGTTTTCACCATAAAAATGATACGTAAATTCATTCTTTAAAAGAGGCTCAAGTCCTTTTTTGACCACCAAGCATATTTACACATACTATACTTTGTTATAAAAAGGAATTCAAGTGGCTTAAAATACGAGTGACTATAATTTATAACCCAAATCAGAACACTTTTGAGAGGGAATGGGTTTGCTATTATGCCATAATAGGCACAAACAAGCTGTCTCAGGTAAATTGTAACCTGAGTCATCCTACTGAAGATACTGCAGTAAATGGCTTTCAAACATTTTTTTCAAACTGCAACCCACAGTAAAAAATACATTGAACGTTGTGACTTAGTATGTATGTGTATGTATGTGTCTATATACACATATATACAATTGAAAGCTTCACAAAATGAACATTAAATGACAAATGCCCTGGTTTTCTATTCCACTTTTTAAAATTTTTATTGGGACATCCCCAAAACAATTTTAGGATGTACGATTTGAAAAACACTTTTGAAGTACTTTGCTTTCCAATTTGAGAGATTTGCCATGGAAAAATAGTTTTGTTTTTCCCTAAAGGGGGGAGGGAACAGTTATGCTTGCTTTCTTCTTTATTTTGAAATAATTTCAAACCTAGGCAAGAACTGCATGAAAAGGACAGTTTATACCTTTCACGCAGACCATACATTTGCTTTATCTGTATTTTTTTCCTGAAACATTTGAGAATTGGTTGCGAGAGGTCATAGCCCCTTAACCCCCTAAAGCGTGTATTTCCTAAGAACAAGGACAGCCTCTTATATATTCCGCTATACAGTTCCATTATCAAATTCAGAAATTTTAACATTGATGCAACAATATTGTCTAATATACGAGCCATACTAGAATCTCATCATTCGCCTCCATAATGTCCTTTACAGAAAATGTCTCTGCTGATCCAGGATCCAATCCAGGATCACGCATCCCATTTAGGTGTCGCTTCTCTTTGTTCTCCTTTGATTTGAGACAGTCCCTCAGCTTTTCTTTATATTTCAGAATATTGACATTTTTGAAAAGTAAAGACATTGTTTTGTAGACAGCCCCTCAATTTGGGTTTGTTTCCTCATAATTAGACTCATCGAAGGCGTCATGTAAGAATAGTCTTTACATATGTGATGTTATATCCTCATGGTACCTTGTCATTTGTATTGTTGATGTTAAAACTCTCTCTGATGGGGATAAACTCTTGTATTCTTATGTGTTGTCCATTATTCTAACTATTATACTGATAAACACCTATGGGTACTTAGGAAAGACATCTGTTTTCAACATCCCTTTGTTTTACATCTTCAATTGTTTTCTAATTGAAAAAAACGACGGAAAACGGTGAAATGGCATGAGTATTCTTGGGTGTCATTTGCTTAACTGCATTTTGGACCCAGTGATTATTTTTTTCTGACTCTGAAGGAAAAAACCCACATGAAACAGAGTCGAGTGCACGGTCACCTTCTTAGTGTTAATGGGAGGCTGCTGCCTTTGGGTTCTTTGGATTATGAATAAACACAGCTCTAATTGCATAAATAAAACAGAGATGTATTGGCTCATGTAGCTGAAAAGTCAAGGCTAGAACTTCGGTGCAGATGATGGTGGTCCTAACAGTGCTGTCTGGTAGAACTTTCCATGATGATGGGACTGTCCGATATTTGCTCAGTCCAAACAGTAGGTGCTAACCCACCTGAGGCTGCTGCTTATTTGAGATGTGACTAATGCAACGGAGACACTGAATGTTTAATTCCCTGTGATTTAAATGTAAATAGACACATGGGCCTAGTGGCTACTGCATTTTACAGCACAGGCTCTAATCTCTATCTCTTGCCTTGCTTTCTTCTGTTTACTCTTCTCAGGCACATCACCCCCTTGTGGTGGCAAAAATGGCCTCCAGCAACTCCAGGGTACCTCCCGTCATGTTAGCGGCTCACCCAGAAGGGAGCCTGTCTTCCCCACTAATGGCAGCCAAAGCCTCTGAGCTGACTCATTGGCTCTGCCTGGGTCATGGGCCTGAACCTGGACTGACTTGACGAGGGGTGGTTCCTCCAAGAAGAATCAGGGAATCTGGGTGCAGTTAACCCCGTCAAGGAAGGACCCCAGGAAAGTGAACACAGTGGTATTAGCTGTAGCTCAGTTTATGAAGTATTTGGGGTATACATTTTTTATAAAGGAGAGAGTTAAAAGCATAAAGTACTATGAAAAAAAAGGAAGACCAAGCAGTCCTCTATCAAAGGAAAATGGTAAAGGAAGGAATAAAACTTAGGGTCTAGTGGCAGTTTTCTGAGTTTGAAGGAAAGGTTTCAATCTCATAATAATGACTGTGTTGGGACTTGTGTTTTCAGGTAGTATTGTTCGTTTTGATTTTATTTAACAATTAGACCTGATACAAGTCTACTATATAAAGACTAAATCAATCCAATAGAAACGTCAATCTGAAATTGCAGAAAGTTCAGATTGTGTTACTTTTGAAATATAGAAATGAGAGAAAGACAGGCCTTACAGCAATGAGTAAATTCAAATTTCCAAGGAGCCAGAGTGGGCTGGGTGGGTAGGGCTGGTAACCCAGAATCCCCCTTTACACACACACACATACACACACACACACACACACACACACACACACACACACACACGTACACACACGTACACACACACACACACGTAATACACACACACACACATGTGTAGGCCCAGTGTTGTCAGCTCTTTGAACATTTCAGATGTCAGAAATCCAGAATTTCACGAGACATCCTGATTTTTAAAAAATTTTTTAAATTGATTTTCAATTATAG